TTTGCAAGAAAATTACTCAATTCCGAAAATAAAAGATTTTGAAGATATTGTGTACTTGATTAGCAAGATTTTAGGTACTCACTCCTCCAAAACCCTAAAGTATTTTCAAAACATTATAAATACCTTCCACTAGCGTAATCTAAACTCACCAGTTTAACAGAAAATGAGAGAAATCACGGACGTGATGCAATCAGTACGGACTCCGGAAAGAGCGAGGAGACAGTGGTGAACGAGGAGGAGATCGTAATTCTCTAGGTTTCGAACCACCGAGAGAATTTTCAACTAGGAAAACAACACGATCGACGATCCAAAGCTCCACCGCCTGAAACACAACATCGAATTGATCACACAGAATAGCTTCAGATTTTGGATATGTTTTTCCGGCGGTAGCTTCAAAATACGCGCCGGGAATTCCTTGATACGCTACACAGAGAGTAGATCCATGCGACGGCGCCGGAGATAGATTTGTAATCGTTAAAGGCTGAATCAATCGAGGATTCGCGTTTTGCTGCAGCTTTGAAGGAACAAGGCTCAGATCGACGGAGCCGTTACTGTGACCGTTAACGACGGCGACTTGGTCGGCTATACCACTGATGATTGAGTTTGAATTCTCAGCCGAAACTACTTATGATATCGGTCTCTGATTTGTTTTAGAGAGAACTTTCCGTTTCTAAATTTTTCATTTTGGTCAAATGAGAGAGTTGAATAAAAACAAATTTGGCTTTGTGGGTCTTTACAAAATTGGTAGAGTTTTGATTCTTTGTTATTGGGTTCTAATACTGTACGTGTTTATTTTCTCATGAAGTATGTGAACTAATGAAAGTTGATTAATAAAATTTTCTTTTTTTCCACGGCACTTCTTAACATATTATTTTTAATATTTGTTATTATATAACAATAATAGGATAGTGTTAATTACATGGATCATTAAGGATAGATTAGTGATAAAAAAGTAGAAAAAAAAAATAACAAGGTCGCTGCAAAAGTTTTAATTCAGACCTTAATTATCGGATCGATTCAAGCTTTAACCCATGTCTTTTTCTGAATTTGCTAGAAATAATTAATGTTCTCAAATAAATTCAAATATGAAATCTTCACAAATACATTAAATACATAAAATTTGAAATTATGGAGCAATCTTTATTATTAAATTCAAAATTTCTAATTCAAAAATATTATTATTGATATATTTAAATTTTGTGGCTTTTGTTTGCCCATTTAGCAATGGTTTTGAGTTTTTATAATATAAGAAACAAAATAGTTTTAAATCTTACGGGATAAATTATATGGCACGGATTTAGTTAGGATTGATATTAATATAAATTTAAAATATCATTAATACATTGCTATAACACGGGTGGAATCCTCATTTTATTATTTAAAATTCAGCATGTGATATACCGCTGGTAAAATCGGTATAAAACAGGTTAAATCATCATCTTATTCAAAATCATTCAATTCAATCTGTTTTTTTATACTACATCTATTTATATATACATTTTGGCATGGAAATTTGGCAAACAAATGCTGGCGGGTCGGGTATCTTTTTTTACAAAATTGACACAAAATATTGGCGATCGGATCTTTGGTATTTCATACCATTAAACAAAAATTAAAAATGACATTAATTACTTAATTACCACCTAAATCGTAAACATATATATGATATCTCTAAACTAACCATATTTGTTTTTTTATCTTAACTAATCTCTAAACGATTTCTATCTTTAACTCTGTTAAATCTTATCTTTCCTTAACTACATTCGATTAATTGCTAATTTCCTAAAATCTCTCTACTTAATTTAAACATAAAGATATGATTCTTCTTTTACTTTTATTTGATCTTATATTTAATTTATTTTGAATTTTTATAAAATACATATAGTTAATAAAATATTAGATTTTTATCGGCATATGATGTGATCAAATTTTAAAAAAAAGACATATATTACTCAATAGATGGAGCAAAAAAAAAGTCTACAATGTCCCACATTTCTTAAAAAAAGATCAATGGTTCAGAGTCCTATTATAAAAAGAACACAAATGGTTCTAAAAACTAGCAGAAACCTTGATTTATCAAATGTCCAAAATTAAAAGTGTTATCCGGTTTACTCCGGTTATTTATTTTAAAGATATAACAATCAAAATACAATTATGAAGTTTGGGTCCATATTAAAACTTTTATGAAGTTGCAAATATTATAAATATTTGAACTTTATAAGAAGATGACAAAATGATGTTTAATTTCACGGGACGGGGTTATATGGTGGACGAGTTTGGGTTATTATTAATACGCGATTATATACTATGATTGAAATCATAAAATTAACAATCAAAATATAAAATCTTTAACACTAAACAAAACAAACAATATTAACAAAACAAATACAACTTAAAATTTCAAATTTTTAGTTATAAAATATAAATCAAACAAAACTATAGCATATATCCCTTGTTCAAAAACGCGGCCGCCTAGCCACCTAGGCGTCCGGAAAGTCGCTCGGCGGAAGTCATCCGCCGCGATTTTACTCAAATCGGACAAATTAGGCGTTATCCGATTATACGGCCGCTTAATGATAAAATCGGTTTTATAACCGATAAATTTTATAAAAATTGGGCCTTAATTCTTGGCCCACGTACACGTGAGCGGCCCATAATTTTTACTTTAGCTCATTGGGACAGAAGAATGTGGAACATGCATATTTATAAGTGAGTTTTCATGAGCTCCTTCCTCTAGTTACCGATGTGGGACTTTTGCAAGTGTCTCTCGTGTATCTTTCCTTCACAATTATTGCTCAGGACACGTGTATTATTGAAACTTTCCACTATTGCTTCCATCCAGTTGGAGCACAGCCCTATTGGGCTTAATTTATTTTTTCTGGCCCATTGATATATTGTTTATATTATAGTTTTGTATTTTATTTGATGTCTTTTTATCAAGAGGATAAAACTATACATATATTTAATATCATATACTTATTATTTTTAATAATTAATTAAAAATAACCCTAAAACTAGTCCCCGATTAATCCCCGCTTAATCTCCGATTTTCTTGCTAGGCGCTAGGCCCACCCCGAGCGCCCGACTAGCGCCTAGCGATTTTTTAAACATGGCATATATCTATAGATCATCTTTAAAAAAAATTCAATTATTTTTTCTAATAAAAATATAGGCCCGCGGTATTCCGCGGGTTAATATTTAGTATATATATAATCCGTAATTGATTCTTATTAGTAGTTACAAAAATGAGTATATAATTATTTTATATGACAATACGCCGTTATGTTTCACATGCTAAAAGAAATAAAGTACTGGAATGAGTAGGTAAAACATATTATTAGAAGAGAAATAATTATTTTTGTTACACTGAAAAAAAAAAATTATCTTTGTTACCTTTTTGCTTATAAAGGTAGGAAGGAACGTGTGAAAGAAGTGTCACACTGTCAGCTAATCTTTTTGCATGGGAAGGGAATCACTTTTGGACTTTTTCTTGTCTTACTGATCCTTTTTTCACTTGTACTATAATTTACTCTTTTCTCTTCTTGTTCCAAATTCACGTGTACAAAATTGTATAATTTTCGCCATTGTACTGCCTATGAATAGATACTGGTCAAAAGTACTACAAATTGCCACCAAGAAAAAAACAGAATCTGGTCAATTATTTTCATTTTTTCTCGTCAATAATTTCCATCCATTAGATATACATTCAAATACGTTTAACAAATAAAAATATACATTCAAATACCAATTGCAGGAATTATGTAACACTAATTCTATATGGACTTGGTCATTTCTTTTATAGGCCCATACTGAGTAGCTGAAATAGGCCTGGTTTATTAATGGGTCGAAGACTCGAAGTTGCTAAACACTCACAGTTTAAATGAGTGTAGGGTTGGGATACAAAAAAAGAACTAAACAAAAACGAAATAATAAAAAACGCTAATAATTGAGGCAAAGTAACAAGATGGAAAGGACAGAACAATGATGGACCACATATGTAGACTTTGTTAGTTCGTCGGTCTCCATCGTTAGCCATTCACTCTCCAATCCAACAACACCCTCGTCGACTCCGGTCTTAATCTGCCTATTCGTTGGTTCAGATTAGATCACGTGTCAACGTTAATAGACAAAATTAGTTGGACCTGCTTGCAATGAGTGAACACGTGTCGAACAGCTGAACTGCGACATATCTTGTGTGCTTTCCCATGCGGAGATATAGACCCCACCTTCAGCTACAGAGAATGAAATAAGCCAATAATATGTTTATGTAATTTTGTCGAATCTGCACCATCTCTTTCGGATACTTACAAAAATACCAAAAACTAAATTCTGGGGAATAAACTATAGTTTCTCATTTCGAATTTTATTCATGTAAACCAAGCATTTGTCATATATATAATTCACGTATGCTTGGCTAAGCTTAACGACTTATTGTACATACTAGGAGTCTAGGACGTGCACAAATCTATAAATGATATAGTACCGTGATTTTGATTATACTTGAATACTGTGAATTTGTTATAGGGTTTTAAATGACAAGAATATGATCACGTTTCACAGACTATATGGATAAATATAGATTTTGATATAAAATTCCTTGGTTATCATCATTTGTCTCACAAATCTATATTAGAAATCTTGTTAGAACGCATGATGGTACGTCGGCAACTAAGACATCACATTGTATATGATTATTGAATTACTTTTAGAATGGGAAAAATAAATCTTAACTTACTCTCGTCTAAAATGCTGAAAGAAATACAAAATAGTAGTGCGCCGTTATCTAAATGGTTACTGTGTCGACTATTTTACGTGGACTATGACATCTTCTTCTGATCTTACCGAACATAACTGAGTAAAACCACACACGCAATGCAGACTCAATTTGATGTATATATATACACACACATGCTCATCCTCTTCCTCGATCCTCACTCATTACATAAAACAATACAAGAGTTCCATCTTTCTCTTGTTCTTACACTTCCAAATATATTACTAGGTGATCAATAACGGTAATTTAACACATAAATCAAAGCGTGTATACACTTTTCTTAAGTAAAAAAGAGAGATATGGGCAAAGGTCGGAGTTTACCGATTAGTCGGAGCGAGCGATTTCTTGGAAGCCATCAGCAGTCCGTGGACGGAGAAACCACCGTCGAGCTGGAGCTCATGGAAGAGGATGTCTGGTCGGTGGTCGAGCCTGACGAACCAACGGAAGTAGGCGCGTGGATCACACGCTCTCTCGAGGGGACTGACAATGAATGGAGACGGAACGGAGGCCGCGTGAGTGACCTGACCGTCTCGAGTGATGAACGGAGGAAGAGACACGTGGCGACTTCTGCGCCGGTCAAAGTTCCTGACTGGAGCAAGATCGTAAAGGTGGAGTCCGTCAAGTCAATGCATAATAATAATAATAATGATGCTGACGCGGCGAATTTTGATTGGGGGAGTGAGATAGTGCCGCCTCATGAATACGTGGCCGCGCGTAGCCGTAACGGTGACGGTAGTTCGTCGGTGTTTTTGGGCGTGGGGAGGACGTTAAAGGGACGTGACATGAGACGGGTCAGAGACGCCGTGTGGAGACAAACCGGGTTTTATGGTTAATTTTAAGTAATTAATTTGATCATTAATATTAGATTATAGTATATGATTTGTCCATAGAGTTGGAGTAACTAATTAAGCACTATTGTCTATTGACTAAACAATAACTACTGTCATCATTTATATCACTCTTCTATTCGATATGTAATTTAATATTGATCAACTAGTCTATATCAAAACAATGATGACTAAAAAAAAAAAAAAAAAAAAAAAAAAAAAAACAATGATGACTATGATCATATACGTATATTCATATTCAAGATATTTTTTAACTACTTTAGAAAACTAATTCAACGGTCTTTCTCTTAAACTCTAGCTTTGATTAGAATAATCAAGAAGGTAGCTGAAAATGGAATATTTCCGTGGAAAAATTAAATTAAAACCGTTAATGTCGGCGAAACATAAATGGAAAACAAAATCTCCGCTTTCACCGAAAATGGTAATAAAAAAAACTCGCGAACGAAATTGCCAATTTTCTTTTTGTATTGTCCGATAAATTTCCCAATCGGGCTTACTTCTTCTCTAACCTAGAACACAAGAAATTCTCAAAAAACCCTAAAAATGGGTTGCTTTAGCAGCAAACACCGAGACACAGAGAGTGACATCATCAATGGAAGCGTACAGAGCTCAATTCCGACAAATCAACCGGAAACCCATGTCTCTCGTGACGTTCTCAAGCCTCAGAAACCTCCATCTCCTCAAATTCCGACAACAACCCAATCAAACCATCATCATCATCAACAACAACAACAACAAGAATCTAAACCCTGTTAATCAGCAGGTTCTAACAACACACATTGAAACCAATCGTTTTTAGAGAAACAGAGACAATTCTAGGCAAACCCTTTGAAGAAATCAGGAAACTTTACACGTTAGGTAACGAATTAGGTCGAGGTCAATTTGGTATAACCTACACTTGCAAAGAGAATTCAACAGGGAACACTTACGCTTGCAAATCAATACTCAAGAGGAAACTAACGAGAAAGCAAGACAGAGATGATGTGAAGAGAGAGATTCAGATAATGCAGCATTTGTCTGGACAAGAGAACATTGTTGAGATCAAAGGTGCTTATGAAGATAGACAATCGATACATTTGGTGATGGAGTTGTGTGGTGGTAGTGAATTGTTTGATAGGATTATAGCTCAGGGACATTACTCTGAGAAAGCAGCTGCTGGTGTTATTAGATCGATTTTGAATGTTGTTCAGATTTGCCATTTCATGGGAGTGATACATCGTGATCTTAAGCCTGAGAATTTCTTGCTCGCTAGTACTGATGAGAATGCTATGCTAAAAGCTACTGATTTTGGCTTGTCTGTGTTCATTGAAGAAGGTGAGTTTGTGTAATCAAATCCTCTTCTTCTGCTTTTTAGTTATATATGCAAATGTTTTAGATTTCTTAAGATTCTGGAGTTGTGTTGTGGATATAGATGTTGCCAAGAATAGTATGTATCTTGTTTCATTTAGTGATGCTTTAGTAAATAGTGGTAAGCTTGAAAACAGAGGTTTTGCTATTTTGCTAGTTTAGTTAGTTGATATAATTTTGTGTTCCTATGCTTGATGTATTGTTTCTAAACCGTAAAACAAATGTTTCAGGGAAAGTTTACAGGGATATAGTAGGAAGTGCTTACTATGTTGCTCCTGAAGTATTAAGAAGAAGTTATGGAAAAGAAATCGATATTTGGAGTGCAGGGATTATTTTATACATCTTGCTCTGTGGCGTGCCTCCTTTTTGGGCTGGTAATAAAATCTGACCAATTGTTTGATTTGGTTTATATCCTTTAGTTATGTACTTATGTTGTTGTTGTTGGTACATTGTAGAAACTGAGAAGGGGATATTTGATGAGATTATAAAAGGAGAAATTGATTTTGAGAGTCAACCATGGCCTTCTATATCTGAGAGTGCTAAAGACCTTGTGAGGAAGTTGCTTACTAAGGACCCTAAGCAACGAATCTCAGCGGCACAAGCTCTTGGTAAAGTCACATTGGTCTCTTTAAGTGCGGTTTTGTAGTCAATGTACTTTGCAATGCTTTACTAGTCTGTAAAGATCCTTGTGGTGTTTTTTTTTCCAGAACATCCTTGGATCAAAGGAGGAGAAGCACCGGACAAGCCTATTGATAGCGCTGTGTTATCTCGGATGAAACAATTCCGAGCAATGAACAAGCTTAAGAAGCTAGCTCTTAAGGTAAAACTACAAACGTTTCTTGTGCAAGTAAGCATTCTCATTTGTATTGGCAAACCATTTATTGTGTTTCTGATTCTGTTTTACAGGTAATTGCAGAGAGTCTCTCGGAAGAGGAAATTAAAGGTCTTAAAACCATGTTTGCGAATATGGATACCGATAAAAGTGGAACAATCACTTACGAAGAACTGAAAACCGGGCTGGCTAAACTTGGCTCTAAACTCACTGAAGCTGAAGTGAAGCAACTCATGGAAGCCGTAAGTATTGCCATCCTCTTTGCTCTGCTTCTTATGTTTCTTATTCTTCTAAAAAGGATGGAGCCTGAATAGCCTATTTTATATATGTTTCAGGCTGATGTAGATGGTAATGGAACAATAGACTACATCGAGTTTATCTCAGCGACAATGCATAGATACAGATTGGATCGAGATGAGCACTTATTCAAAGCCTTCCAATACTTCGACAAAGACAACAGCGGGTAAGTTTGGTCCCTTGAGGAACAACGTAAATATAGACTTGGAGCTACTTTAAGAAACCATTTGGATTTCTCTTAACACAGGTTTATCACAATGGATGAGTTGGAGTCAGCCATGAAAGAGTATGGTATGGGAGATGAAGCTAGCATCAAAGAAGTCATAGCGGAAGTCGATACATGATAATGTAAGTTTTGTTTTCCCTCTACATAGAATCAAAGAAGTTATGAACAAGTCTTAATTGTAAAGATTGAGATTAATGAGTCTCTTGTGCAGGATGGAAGAATAAACTATGAAGAATTTTGTGCGATGATGAGAAGTGGTATCACACTGCCACAACAAGGGAAACTTCTTCCAGTCCAGTGACCGACAAATCGAAAAGCCTTCTTTGTGCTTGATAGAGGAACATAGCATTAACTAGATAGTCAACATTTTTACAGCCCTTTAAAAGTGTTGCAGACTTAGACCTGAGACAACTTATAGAACGAGTGGTTGTGTAACAGAGGAATTAAAACTTTTTCCTTGATCGATTATTCAAAAGGGTACAAAACAAATATTAGAATAAAGGACCGTTGCAGATTAATACTAAGCAATTGTTTGCTTGATGTTCAATGCATAGCAGGAATGCATCACTAATGCACATGCATCCACACAGTGGTGAATTCATCCCAAAATCACAAAAATATAAAACAAAAATGCAGATCATTTGTTTTTTCTGTTATATTAATGTTTTTCAGCTTCCATCAACATGAGGATCAAGTGTTGGCACCAAATTTAGCCCGCATTCTCCAATCTCCCATTGCTTATCGTAAACTTCAAAGTCAAAGAAAAATTCGTTGGAACTCACCTCTTCTTCAACATGGAATGTGTACAGATGTTCCTTTAAAAGTGGAGATCCGTGGTGGTATCTTCTTGATCTACGGTTAACATTATCACCATTATGTTTCTCCTTGAGGCAATAAGAGACCCCCACCATCTTCCTATCACCAACCTCAACGTCACCCTTATTAACCAGCAAGACGCAAGCCTTAAAACTCAAGGATCTAGGAAACGTATTAATTCCATTCCATTTCATTGAAAGGGAATTCCCGGTGGCTCGGTAAGTGAAGTATGTTGGCACTTTTTCTCCAGGAAATAGTGAAAATCTACAAGCCGATGTCTTGATGATAAGGTCCCTCGCTTCTTGATTCAGTTTGAAGCAGTTAACAAAGTTGAGGCCAATAAACTTGATAGTGTGGAACGAGCAATGTAGTCTCTCAAGGGACTCACAGTTTTCTGCATTTAGGAATGCTAAGGAGTCGGGAAGCTCTGGAAGTGAAACCAGCTTTGTGCATCCCTTGATTACAAGTACACGTAGCCTAGATATTCGCTTGATCCATGGAGCAATTTCTTGTGTTCTTGTGTCGCTCAAGTGCAGCTCTGTGATGAAGTCAAAAACGTGCGGCAATTCATCGAGGTTTTCGCGGTATGACATATGCAAGTCATCAAGTCGAGACCATGACATGATTGATGAGGGAACTTCTTCTATTGCAGTTCCATTAAGTATTAGAACTCTAATGTTTGTGGAAATCTCAGGAAAAGTTTTCAACATAGAGCAATCAGCGAGATCAAGTACATCCAGAGATTCCATGTTGATGTCGTTTGGAAGGGCCTCTAGCTTTGAACATCCATTTAAATATAGTTTCTCAAGATTAGTGATATTGCCAATAGAGGAGGGGAGCTCCTTAAGGCTCGAGCAATTTGAAATATTCAGATTCTGGAGACCGGTGATATTCCCAATAGAGGAGGGGAGCTCAACAAGACTGGAGCATTCTGAAAGAACCAAATTCTTGAGACCGGTGATATTCCCAATAGAGGAGGGGAGCTTCACCAAACTTGAGCACTCTGAAAGAATCAAATTCTTGAGACCGATGATACTCCCAGTAGAGGTGGGAAGCTCAACAAGACTTGAGCATCCTGAAAGATTCAAATCCTTGAGACAAGTGATATTCCCAATAGAGGAAGGGAGCTTCACCAAACTTGAGCAACTTCGGAGAAACAATTCCCTGAGATTAGTAGCATTACCAATGAAGATTGGGAGCACCTTAAGATTTGAACATCCACTGAGATTCAACATCTTGAGATTAATGGCATTTTCCAAAGAAGCGGGAAGCTCCACCAGACTTGAGCAATCCTCGAGATTCAGTTCTTGGAGATTAATGGCAGTTAAGAGATCAGGAAGCTCCTTCAGATTTCTGGAACATTTTAAATCCATCCACTTGAGATTTCTAATCACCTGTACAAAAAAAAAAAACAAATACAAACAATCAAGGAGACGTTGATACACAAATTTTCGGGAACTAATAAAACAAAATTAAGCTACTCAGAAAACAGATTTCAATGACTTTGAGATTTAATTCAAATAAAAAACGGTGTTGTTTGATAGTTTTTTCTTTTCAGCTCAAGCATAATGTACAAAAAGAAAAACAAATTATAGAATCGAATAAAACTGAAGTTTACATGCAAAGTTTTAGAGAACTATATACTTACATAAGATCCTTTCCACAAATACTTAAGCTGGCTGTAAGACATGTTTAGTTCAATGAGGAACCGCGGATCAAAGCTAGAAGGCAGGCATGTCATCGGGAAGCATTCCCAATGTAGTAATTTAAGTTCTCGAGGTAGATATTTCAGACTTTGTGGTAAGTATGATCTCGGGTGAATATCATTACCGTGGAGCCTTAAGAATCGGAGAGTATACATTTTTTCAAAGGCTCTGCAACTTCTATTTAACTCATCCTTGATCTCAGAATACTTGGAATCTATGCCTATAACACTTTTACTACCCTGTAAAAGAAACCAAAGTCACATAAGTAGATATGTTTAGTTATGAAATTTTGTAAGGAGCAACATGGTGAAAACTTACTACTGTATAATTACTTAGTACATCGCATGTCTCTTCTGCATCAACCAAAAACTGACGCTGCTCAGGGTCACAAATGGATTGGTTACGAACGATTTGTCTACCCAATTTTTCTAGCATATCATGCATCTTTACATATCCCGAGCTAATAGATATGAGAGATTTCTCTAATAAGATGCGAAGACCTTCTCTCACATCTAAGAATATCGTGGCTAGATGCTCTTCCACTTTCTCAATCGGTTCATAGTTGAAGAGGCATGCTATATAAAGAAATATATCTTTATCTTCATCACATAAGCCATCGTAACTAAACTTCAAAATGCTTTCAATTTCTCTGTCAAGAATAGTCCTTAACCTTGGTATTTGAATTTCCCAACCACGCTTGGACACTCCTCTCAACTGAGATCCCATAATTTTTAGTCCCAAAGGGAGTTTACCGGCAAGTTCTGTAACTTCCCAAGCAAGGTTCTCAAAACCATCATAGGGAGACCTTTGACCAAAAGCACTCATGCAAAATTTGAAGGGCCTCATAGAAAAGTGGAAATTGCACCTCATAAATATGGTTAATCATATGTGCATTCAAAAGCCTTCTATCTTGAGTTGTGATGATAATCCGACTTCCCGGACCAAACCACCAAGTTTCTTTCGCTATGGCATCTAGTTGCCATAACTGATCCACATCATCAAGAACAACAAACACTTTCTTGTCACGTAACCTTTCTTGCGCAACACCTAAATGAGAAATCTTGATATCCTGGTGGTCGATTATTCGCGACAAAAAATTTTCTTGTAGTTTCAGCTTTGCGTTGTACTCATCTAAATGAAGCATTGGATGATTTCCTTTAACATTATCCATGAATACACTGAGTTGGAACCCATGCGAGTATTCTCCAAATAGAACTCTGGCTATGGTGGACTTACCAATTCCAGAAGGACCCCAAATCCCGAGCATTATCACTTCATATGAGTCTAGACGTAAGAGTGGTTCCAAATTTTCCATATGAGCTCTCATCCCTATTAATCCGTCGAAATCACTTGATGGAGCAGAATTGTTCAGTTCGACTGAAACATCAATGGCAATTTTTTCGATCATTGCTGCATCATCATCCCTTGCAAGAGGAAAAATGAATATAACAGTTTAGTCAGGGGAAATTCAAACAGTTCATATTACATGAGTTTTTGGTTGGATAATGGATACAATCTCTATAATTATATATTATAACTATAAGTTTTACATTTTATATTTGATTTTTCAAAACTGCCAACAAAATCTTAAAATTAAAAAAAATACAGAAATAGGCTTAGAAGATTTTAAGGAACCTTTCATAAATATATGTTTCTTTCAATTATACCTCCGTTGTTTTTTTAATAACATATTTCGATATGTTTGAAAGATTACGAGGAAGTAAAAATGAGAAGGACGAACCAGTGGCTTGAATCGTAACTGTCGATTGTGTCCACTTTCGCCAAAGCTTGTCTCCATCTTCCAATATCCTCCTTAGTATTTCCGGCACAAGTTTTTTCAAAAACATTCCCAAAATCTCCTCTCAGCATCTTTACATCAGATGGATCTACTTTATAGAAAATGGCCTTCACAGTTTGACCCAACTCTTCCCTGCACTTCATAATCTCCACCAATTCATTAAGACACCACTTTGAAGAAGCATATTTTCTCGAGAGCAAGACAATTGTGATCTTAGATCTTCTAATCGCACCTATGAGTTCGGGACTGATGGATTTTCCTCTCTTGATCTCATTGTCGATGAACGGTTTGATTCCCTTTCTTTGAAACTCCTTGTGAATGTGACTGAGAAAGTCTTGGCGGACATCTTCCCCGCGGAAGCTTGCAAAGATATTGTGTGTCCAGTTATGAGACGGAGAAGATGGAGGGACTGATGAAGACGAAAAAGGCTTTTGACCAAAATCATTCATGCAAAAGGTTTGAAAAGCTTCATCGTCAGGTGGAAGACCCACCTCGCACATATGGCTAATCCCATGATCATTCAAAAGCTTTTTATCTTGCGTAGTGATGATAATCTGACTTTGAGGACCAAACCACCCATTTTCGTTACCCATGGCATCTAGTTGCGCCGGCTGATACACACCATCGAGAACAACAAACACTCTCTTGTCTTTTAACCAGTCTTGCGCAACTCCTAAATGATGAATCTTGACATCCTTCGGGTCGTAACATGGTTTTGTGATGTTACCGATTCCAGACGGACCCCAAGTCCCTATCATCCTCACGTCATCGGACTTTAGGTGTAAGAACGGTTGCGTTTTCTCCAGATGAGCTCCCATCCCAACTAAAACGTCAAAATCACTTGATGGCGCATAATTGATCAGCTCATTTGAAACATCAGTGGCGATTTTTTCAATCATGGCAGCGTGATTATCCCTTACAAGAGAAAGATGAATACATCCGTTAAATACTAAAAACATAAATGATGTTGATTTTGAAAGTAGAGTTCTGTTTGTGATATCTGGATGTGTTTGAAAATTAAGAGCAAGTAGAAATGGGAAGGACGAACCAGTTGCTTGAACAGTATCCGGCGATTGTGGCCACTTTCGCCAAAGCTTGTCTCCATCTCTCAGAGTCCTCCTTACTTTTTCCAACACAAGTATTTCTGAAAACTCCTCCAAAATCTCCGGTTAGCTTTTTTACATGAGATGGATCTACTTTATAGAAAATGGCCATCACAGTTTGATCCAACTCTTCCCTACACTTCATAACTTCTACCAATTCGTTAAGACACAACTTTGAAGAAGCATAATGACTCGAAAGAATGATGATTGCGATCTTAGATTCTCTAATTCGTATGAGTTCAGGACCGATGGATTCTCCTCTATTTATCTCATTATAAATGAATGGTGTCATTCCCTTTCTTTGAAATTCCTTGTGAATATGACATAGAAAGTTTTGGCGGACATCTTCCCCGTGGAAGCTCGTAAAGACACGATGTGTCCCGTTGGGAGACAAGGAAGGTGAAGGAACTGATGATGAAGGAGACAAAGGATAAGAATGAACCGGTGATGAATGAGACAAAGAATATGGAGGAATTGGTGATGAAGGAGACAAAGAAGAGGAAGGAGATAAAGAAGAAGAAGAAGAAGAATCGATTTCTTTGATTTGTTGATGGAATCTGTATATTCGAAAAATCATGAAGAAGCATATTGCAGCAGCAAAAATGGTAAGGAAAAAAGAAGAGTCCATTTCTATGTTGGAGAGAGGACCAAGAACATTTCTCATTATATGTGGAGAAATAATGAAATAAAGAGTGAAAAACAAAACGTTGACTTTGTATGTACTGAGAAGGTGGATCCTACCAACAGAGGAAGCTTCGTGGAATTTTTGTCACGGGAAGAATATCACCGGAGTTAAATTTTTAATGTATAGTTGGGGAACAATCCGTTATACCAAATTTATTCTAACAAGAAGAGCAGAAGGAATTTCATGGAAGCAGTGATCAAAGTCAATACGACTATTGTTTAACAAAAAAAAAAAGAAGAAGTCAATGCCTCTATTGATCAATTCATACAAGCAATTTCATAGCGAAGAGATCAAAGTTATATGACTTTATCTTCGGCTTCATCTCCGTTGACAAAACACATCAAATCTCATAGATCATTGACTCTAGTTTGTGAAAATGATATGGGGATTAATCTGTTGTCCCAATTTTATTCTAAGGAAGAAAATACAAGGAAGAGCATAAGCAATTTCGTGGAAGCAGTGATTAACCTTTTTGTCATAGAACCTTGTTAAAAAAATTGCTAGGCGTTAATCAAGCCGTCAGAATGGGACCAGTCTTTAAACTATAAGAATCTTGTTTCATTTAGTGATGTTTAAGTACTAAATAGTGGTAAGCTTGAAAACAGAGGTTTTGCTATTTTGCTAGTTGATATAATTTTGTGTTCCTATGAACAAGCTTAAGAAGCTAGCTCTTAAGTTAAAACTACAAAAACAAAGCAGCTAAGGATCGAATTTCAAGAAACCAGAAGAAGATGGCAAGTAACATATATGATGCAAAAACAAAGGTTATATATATGAGTTTTTGATTCGAGAATAGTCTTGTACACACAATTTAAAAGCAAAAGATGTCCTAATAATATTTTTACTCCCATCATAAAAGCATTGAAATTAACATTAGTCCCATCATAAGAGCAAATAAGGCCTTCACTTCGGTCTTGATCGAGGAGAATCTTTGACTTTATCAAGATTTAATACGGCAACTTTGATACTTAACTCTTCCAAAGTCTCACGTACACGGTCGAACTTGGTGCCTTGTCCAAAGTTTTGGTTTTTTGAGAGTACCACCAAATTACTTTCGGATTCCATCATGTGTGCCCAATAAAGAAGGTGTAGTAACATCCTGTTATATCTTATACTTTCATCACCTGCTTCTGGATTCAAATAGATTGTGATACCGTGATCCCCATAAGCATCCCTAAAATATTCTTTTGGCAATTTCGGATTAACAACGTAACCCTTGATTGTCTTCCTCCCACGGTAACCCTCTTTGTAGAGAGCTAAAGTGATTTCGTCATGTTTCGACCAAAACTCGCTAACTGCAGGCAAATTTTCATCCTCAATGACCCAGAAGAGAAGTGTCTTACGACCTGTGAGGTGAAAACGGAGAACGATTAAAAAAACTATTACGAAACATCAGATCAGTAAAATTATACTAGAAAATAGATCCATTAAAATTAACTACTGGCAGATTGATAGAGATGAAATCTAATCCAGACCATAGTCAAACAATTTCGAGCAAGGGATACAACTTACACATTTCACGAGCGGTGGTGGGAATGGGGAATAATCTGGACATGGTTTCAGCCGAGTTATCGAGAAAAATATTAGGCGCTGCAGATGATGAGATGTACTCTGTTGACTTTTAGGGTTTTAGATGGGTGATCAGAATCAGCAAGAGTATCTGCTTTCCGCTTGTTCTGGTCAAAGACGTTGTGAGCGGTTTCCTCCATCAACACTTCAGGTACCCATGTTGGTGATAATATAAGACCACATTGCCACCTCCACAAAGAGGCAAAATGTTTCAGCACGTCTGGATTATCCATGTTTTTTGAGAGTACAATCAAATTTCTTGTTGAAGAACTTTTCAGTGCCCATTGGAACATGTCCACTAACATGGAATAAATTCCGGCGTCTTTATCTCCTGGAAAGTACATCAACGGAGATCTAGATTAGGGACATGTATATGTCAAAAAATAAATAAACATAGAAGGAGAATAATATCACCTTCGGGTAAGAGATCGATTTTGATTTCGGCAGCTGAAAATTTAGATAGTAATTCACTATCCGAGACTGTATCCTTATTACCGTAAGCGTGGATTGACACATCCACACGACAACCTATATCCGCGAGCTCTGATTTGATTTTCTCTAGTACTAAACAAGGATCCACACCATTAGGGATTGGGTAACTCCCCATGTCCCAAAAGATGCATGCGTCAGCATCTGCCAGGTTTCAGATCGTGAATAAAATAAGTTAGATCCATTATAATTAAGGGATTTACTATGGCAGATCGACGATTAGATATACGCTAGTTTACTAATGACAGATCGATCAGATGAAAGATAATCCAGATCATAGACAAACAATTTCGACTAAGATGAGAGAGAGAGAGAGAGAGAGAGAGAGAGAGAGATGTTACTTAGGTATTTTTCGATCGGATCAATGGTTTCGGCGGAGGACAGCGAATTATCGGACACATATTTGTCAAACACGGACATGGTCTCGTCGGTATCGGACATGGTTTCGTCGGCAGCGGATGAGAGACTTTGTGAATTTAGGGTTTAGGCCATGAATGGATGTTGTTTTTAATTCAGATTTTGGTTTTAGTTTTTACTTTTTAGTTTTTGGATTTTAGTTTTAGATTTTGTATTTAGATTTTTGTTTCCAAAATCTAGAAAATATGGTTTTTGGCTTTTGAGTAAAATAACGTAGAAGAATCAAAAACCAGATTCCCTAAATTGTAGGACAACTAAAAATCTAAAATCTTGAATGAGAGATAATAGCAAAATCGATTTTTTAAATTCTACAGAAACCAAAATTTTAAAATCTTGATTGGTAAGATAATGAGATTTTGAAAATCAAAAACCAAAAACTCTTTTAAAATCCACCAAACATTCAAGGCCTTAGTATCTATAAATTTTGAGTAAATCGAACGGAATTGTACATATCCTTATGTGTATGAATAGTAATTAAACGAGCAATTACAAACTTAAAGTATGGAATTTATTTTATTTATTTATTTTTTATGGTATCCCACTATTTCATGTAAAAAATGGTGTTGTCAGTTTGGTTAATGGTGGTAATCTCTCTAAACTACACATTCCTCCAGTTAGCTGACCACTTTACTAATATCTGAGCCCCAAAAACGAGTATATATATCATTATTTCTTCTTCAATTTCAATATAAAACTTTTTAACCAAGAAAAAGCATAAGACACATAAGTAAAATTTGTTTTGATCAAATTTTGTAGAGGAAAACTCGGTGAATGACTAATGTGAAAACTTACCATTGTATTATTATGCAGAACTTGGCATGTCTCTCCAACATCAACCAAAACGTACCCGGGTTCATGAATGGATTGTTTACGAACAATCTTTCTACCCAAACGTGCTACCAAATCATGCATCCATATATATCCGGAGCTGATAGACATGAGAGATTTCTCGGCTAAGACGTGAAGACCTTGGCTCACCTCAACGAAATTCTTTGGGAGATGCTCTTCCACTTTCTCAATCCATTCATTGTTGATAAACCAGGCTATACAAAGAACTAAATCTGTATCTTCTTCACGTAAGGCATCATAACTAAACTTTAAAATGCTTTCAATTTTTCCATCAAGTCTAGTCCTTAACCTTGGTAGTTCCTTTTCCCACTCATGCTTAGACATTCCTCTGAAATAAGATCCCATTACCCTTAGTCCTAAAGGGAGTTTACCCGAAAGTTTTGTAACTTCCCAAGCAAGATTCTCAAAACCATCATATGGAGACATTTGACCAAAAGCATACATGCAGAAGATTTGAAGAGCCTCATCGTCAGGTGAAAATCCACCTCATAAATATGGTTAATCCCATGTGCATTCAAAAGCCTTTTATCTTGCGTAGTGATGATAATCCGACTTCCAGGACCAAACCATCCAGTTTCTTGTGCCATTGCATCTAGTTGCACCAACTGATCCACATCATCAAGAACAACAAGCACTCTCTTGTATTTTAATCCCTCTTTTGCAACTCCTAAATGATGAATCTTGATATCCTCCTGGTTCATTATTTGAGACAAAAACTCCTTTTGTAATTGCAGTTTCATACTGTACTCATCGTAACAAGGTCTTGGATAACGTCTTTTGATATTTTCCATGAAGACACTGATGCGGTCATCAACCCAAGAACCAACCATGGAGAAGATTATGGGCGAGAAACAACAACCCAGGAGCAGCCAAGTGGGATTTTTAACAAAGTTTTATCTAAAACTTCGGGCCAAACCAGATTCAGCCTACCCGAGAAGACCCCTGAGCCTTGTTCAGTCCAGACGAAGTCCAAGATCATGTCCTACGTCCCAGCGAATACTTGGAATACATTCTCAGCTCAAATACCGAGCACCTCGAAGAAGAATCAGACCAAAAGGAGTTCACACGAACGAGTTATTCAATTTACAAGTCGGATGATTCCCAGCTTGCCCGATTTGGACATACACGGAGTCATTGGAGGATTCCGACCCGACAAGAAGGATTTAAGCTACGAAGTGAATTTTCATACAATCTTAACTCATCAGCGAACCACGGAGAATTGGAATCAAGTCAATACCAAGTTTGGTTTGAGAGATATTAATTTTCTAAACCGAAGGACCCTCGACTTGCCTTATTTGGAACCTTATGGGTTTAGGAGACTCGAAACGTATCATTGGCACCCAGGAGACTTTATGATACTTCTAGAAGATCCCTACAACACTATAGGGTGCACCAATACACATGGGATCAGGCGGATCCTCCCACACCTTCACTTTCCATATCCGGAACCGAACTTGCCTTATTTGCCTTGTTTGGAGACAAAGGAGATCAACCAGCAACAACTCTTTCCCCAGCTGTTTGAGTGCGTTTTAGAGACCCTCCAAGAGCACAAGATACTTCCAAGGACGCACCACTTCCTTCCCAAGCTTTCAAGATACAAGCTAACGGCTACTTTCCTTGTTTCGCCGGATTTTGCCATTTAATTTCCAACGGCTAGTTTCTCATTCAATTTTGCGATTTGCTTCTTGTTTTTAGACATTAGAGCTGTTGTATTTCGAGCCTATATAAGCTCAGCTCATTCTTCATTGTAAAGCACCCTTGATCAATTTTAAAGTAATAAGAAACATTTTCTTCTTGTCAAAGTTCGAATCTTTGTCGTTTATTCATTAGTCTTAAGTGAGTGAGTCTCTTAGGCCTATTTGAATCTGCGGATTAAGTTTGTTGATAAGTTCAACATCCTTCTTTCGTTCATTGATCGAGTGAGTCGATTAACTCATTGATTGAGCGAGTCAATCATACTATCTCCACATCGTTTCCATCCTTCCGCGGGATTAAGCTTGGAATCTCTTGATCATTGAGTGACCATAAGTTGGATTGGTTCCAATCTTATATCATTTGGTATCAGAGCTCAAAGCTCCTATCAACCCAGGTGAATTCGTTTCACTTATATCTTTTTCAATTTTCAGTTTTATTATTTGTTTCCTATAAATCAAAAATCAAATAAAATTTTGTTTCTTCCTTTTGTTCTAATTAATTTTCTTCAGCACCATTATAAAACAAAAAATAAATTGTTTGAGTTTTGCTATTTATTTTGTTTTATCAAAAGAAAAACCAAAAAAAAAATAATCGTATTTTGTTATTTTAATTAATTTCCGAAATTTATTTGTATAAACTCAGAAAAGAAAAATAAAAATTTGATTTTTGTTTGTTCTGTTTTAAATTTAATTTATCATAATTAAAAAAAAAAATTAAAAGAAATTTCCTTTTCATTGTTTCCTTATTTTTGTTATTTGCAAATTTCCTTATTCTCTCCTTTGATTGATTACGCTTTTGATTCTTCTTCTCCTTTGTTTTGTGTTACGAGACATTCCTAGGAAGAAAACAGAGCCATGGCGTCCTATTATATGGCAAAGGAAGACTTTTACTCGTATGAATCCGATTCGAGCCATGGAGGAGACGAAAACCTTGTTGGAGAAGATGGTGACTATGGAGTTCAACCATGGTATGGAGATGACTACGCCAGTTCTGAGTATGAGGACGATCCAGGAGGTGAAGAGGGTGAACCGGAGCCACCAGACCGTTGCCCTACAAGCCAGCACCATACCGAGCCTCAAACCGCAACAACAACTTCGATTCAAGCGAATCCCTATGTCTATGAAGATGACTGTGAACCTGAAGGAGATTCTTATGTAGGATACCAGTACCATTCTCCCAAGCGCAAAGAGAATACTAGCCACCACGGAGTTGCGACATACCGAGTGCAAACTCGCTCCACACCAGCCATCCCAAAGAAGCGATCTAACAAGGTGTGTGATTACACATCTAATTCCTTAATCTTTACAGGAACTAGTAAGGACCCTGAGGTGTATTTGAGTTGGGAGAACAACATGAAGCAGTGGCTGCGCTCAAACAACATACCTAAAGAAGAAAAGTTGTACTATGCCCTTAGTAAGCTTAAAGGAGATGCATACGAATGGTGGTTAAGAGAGGATGCTGCTACTTACTACACTACCAAAGCTGTTCTTGATTGGGGAACTCTCAAATCCAGAATGTATAGAGAGTTTACAAAGAAGTACCAGCCTCGTATTCGCACCACCAAGCCCTTATACATGGAAATGCCGAAGAAAGTGGTGACTACACCAAAACTGCCGCCTATCTTTCAGCCAATGAACGCACACAGCCATGAGCCAAGGAGAGCGTCGTCAAGCACCCGGAAGACTTCAATAAAGTCTGAGCAGTTCGTTCAAGTAAAAGAGGTTCAACAAGATTCACCCGGAACACTCTTACATGAACTACAAGGAAAAGTGAATCGAGGTAAGTCCTCTAACTCAGTCTTGAAAAATCCTACCTGCTATAAATGTCATAAGAGAGGACATTTTGCTGCCAATTGCCCACCAAAACAAGTAGATAAAACGTCACAAAGTATAGACGAGATGTTTTCCAAATTAATTGATATGTTGACACCACAAATTAAAACACCCAATTCTGTCATATCACACTTGTCTTTGCCAAAAGGTGTTGATGCAGGTTCGAGTAATACAATGGAGAAAACGGCTGTGTTGATAAGCCAAGAGACTACAAGTTGTGATTCAGATTCACAAGCACCACATCAATCTTACATTACGATTCAAGAGGACAAAACACCTGCTCTAAAGCAAGAAACAAACTCCAATCTGATTGGAAATCAAGGTAAGTTTCTTGTACCTAAAGATTTCAAAAGACTAACTTGTTATAGGTGCAGAAAGAAAGGACACACAGCAAATTTATGTCCCACAATGAGAGATGAAGCAAAAACAGAACCGGTCACACCAAGTCTGAACCGTGAGCCTCAAGTAAATGCCAAACCTATTACGGAATCTCTCACTGTAAGTCATAGTGATACTTTTCTTAAATTGGATAAGAACTTTGAATATGTGCTGCAATTACCTAAGTCCAATGTTGAACAAGAGTCTTTAGATGCTGAGGCGAAACAAGAAATTGTTTCAATTCCGAGAAGTGAAAAGGAGCAATTTAAAAATTGTCAATTTGATTTACATGCTTCCATGACTGT